GGGGGGGGGGTGAGGTTAAATGACTTTCCCAGTGATTATCCCGTAGCTAATAAGAATTCAGGTCTTCCTATATCTAGGTCCAGGGCTCTATCCACTGTGTGATCTAGTTGTGGCAGAAGCTGAGGCCTGGGAGTCCAAATGCATTGTTCTTCCCACTATAGAATCAGCCACCTTTTATCCTAGGAAAAGATTCCCAAGTTCTATGACTTACCAATTCAATACTCTTAAGTCTGTGTGTCGCTTACTTTAAAATACTAGTAAAGCCTTTCTGAAAACTCCTCTCTGTCTCTGAATGAGCTAAGAGAAGACAGTATCTGGGATAGGCCTGGACTAGTTGTATTTTTGGTGAGAGATAGAAAGCTTGCCCTCCAGTATTTCAAGAGAACTGATTAGAAAGGGTCAATAGAGCAGAAGAGGAAAAAAACTTCAGATAAGATTGGATCTGCCTGCTTTCTCTCTGACCTGGAGCCTCATTTTTCCTTACCTTGTGCAAGGAGGTATAGATAGTGAAAAGACCATAGAATTGGTTCAAATCCCAGCACTGCTACTAACCACCTGTATAACCTTGGCCAAATTGCTTCCTCATTTGTAAAATTAGGGAGTCAGACTAGAAGATCTCTTGGATCCTTCAAAGCTTAATCCTACGGTCTCACCCTCCCAGAAGAGCCTCCCCATCTCCTGGTTGCTATCTTTGGTAACCCCCCTGGGTCCTACCTGGAGGCTGCAATCTCTGACTTCTGGCGGGCAATGGCCGCTGCCCGCTGAGCCCCCTCCACGCTATGGTCCACCTTCTGCCGAATTTTGGTGCTCTTGAGGGCGAGAACACGTTTCTTCATGCCCTTGACCAGCACATTGTGCCTGTACTTCCCTTCCTCCTTCTTGCCATCAGGCAGGGTGGTACAGCCGTAGCCGTGCCTCAGGTTGTCCAGCCACTCACCCTCATACTTCAGCCCACTGGAACGCTCGCTGACCCCAAAGCCTGACCGCTTGTCATTTTTCCACTCCCCCATGTAGGTCTCTGTGGTGGTAGCATCAATGTCAGACTCAAATGGGGCAAAGTCCTCCGCCTCAGCCCCTTCTCCCAGGCTGGTAGTGGAGGCTGCATCGCTGGCCGCTGAACTCAGGTCACTCTTCAGGAAGCTGACCCGGCTCTTCTGGCTGGCCAGAGAGCTCCGTGACTCTGAGTGCCTCAGTTTCCCCAGTAGGGAACCTCTCTGGAAGAAGCCACCACTGCCCCGAGGGAGCTTGGCAGCAGCCTCTGCATTGGTGTAGAGGCTAAGGGCAAAGCCACCACGGGAGATGGTGGGGGTAGCCAGGGTGGTGCCATCCATGGGGGTAGAGGGAGCATCCTGCTGGGCCAGGGTTCCATTGCTATGTTCACTTCGTAGGGAAGAGAGGGATGTTCGGAGTGGTGAACGGACTACCACTGCCATGCCATATGGGACGCTCTGCCGGATGCCATAACCATGGCGCATGCCATTGGTAAACTGGCCTTGATATGTTCCTAAGGAAAGAGAAGAAAAATCAGGTTAGCTCCTGGGCCCAGGTTTTATGCTGGTAGGAACAGCCACCTATAAATCCCAGGAGAGAGAGCACAGGACTGAGTGAGACCTAGGCCCTAATCCTAGTCTTAGCTTTATCTCTACCTGGCTATGTGACACTGATCAAGTCACTTGCCCACTTGAAGCCTCAGTTTCCCCATCAATAAAATGAAGAGAATGGGTTAGATCATCTCTATGGTCCCTTCCAGGGGACATCCAGGTAGTACAATGGATAATGGACTCTGGACCTGGAGTCAGGAAGACCTGAGTGCAAATTTCCTTCATCTGACACTAACTACCTATGTGACCCTGGGCAAGTCACTTGACCTCTACTTGCCTTAGTTTCCTCCACTATAAAGGGGAGATAATAACAGCCTCATTACCTCCTCCCAGAGTTGTTGTGAGGCTCAAATGAGACAATATTTATAAAGTGCTTAGCACAGTGCCTGGTACATAGTAGGTGCTCATAAATGCTTCTTTCATTCTCTTCTTCCTATAGGCTCTCTGCATTTTAAAAGCACCTTTGTATTTATTCTTTCATTTAACCCTCATGGTCGGTAAGCAGGGTAGAGTAGAAAGAACCCTGGCTGTGGGGATTGGGAAACCTGGGTTTTCTTGCCAGCTCTTCTCCCTCTCTTTGTGACCTTCTGCAGTTCCCTTACGTTATCTGGGCCTGAGTTTTCTCATCAGTAAAGTGAAGGGTTGGGATTATATGATTCCCTCTTTAGGATGTTGTATCAGTATAAAAGCCTGGGCCTAGACACTGAGAAGAGCTCATTTACAATAGGAAGAGAAAACCAAGGCCCAGGGAAATTCAACAATTTGCTCAAGGCCATGACAAAATTCCAGGGTTCCCAATGCCTCCTTTAGTGGTTTTTGTTTTTTCTTATTGCAGCACCCAGCATACTGCCTGGCACTAATAAGGAAATATTTAATAAAGAATGCTAATTAATTGATTATGGGATGCCAACCTTTCCCAAGTATGTAGAAACTTAGCTCGTGAGAAATCAAAAGGAAACAGAGGTGCTGGTATCTGTCCTTTGAGGGTAAGACAAGATTATGCTCTTAAAAAATGCATAAGTACATATGGACTGAAAACATCAAAACAAAGGCCCTTCCAGTGTTCACGCAGATAGCAAAGATTTGAAGTCAAGTCTGCGGAACTGAAATTTGGTGTTCTTTTCCCTAGATAATTTTTCACTAGATGATTTCAATTCAGTCCAGAAAACATTTTTTAGGTGCTTACTGTATACAGAGCACCTAGACCTAAGTGGCACAACGGATAGAGACTGGAAGACCTGAGTTCAAATTTAACCGAGCCGAGCGACTCTGAGCAAGTCACTTAACCCTGTTTGCCTCAGTTTCCTCATCTGTAAAATGAGCTGGAGAAGGAAATGGCAAACCATTCCAGTATCTTTGCAAAGAAAACTCCAAATGGAATTATAAAGAGTCAGACAGGACAGAAATGACTCAACAAGAAGTGTATACTGAGCACCTAGATGCTAGCCACTAGGAGTGATACAAAGTTTAGATAAGACAACTCCTGTCCTCCTAAAACTTAGAGTTGATTAGAGGGAATAATACACAGTAACATGAAGAGCTTTCTGCCTTCAATCACTCCTGCCTCTCTGATGTTCCACCTCTCCTTGTCCATTGGCTCCTTCCCTACTCCCTTCGAACAGGCCCAGATCTCCCCCAATTGATCCTTTTAAAAAAATCCTACCTTTGGTCCTACCACCTATTAAGCTATCATCCTATCTCTCTCTTCCCTTTCGCAGTTTAACTTTTAGAAAAAGCCATCTACACCTTTGCTTCCACTTTCTCACTTTTCATTCATGTCCCAGTCTTTTGCTATCTGGATTCTGTTCCTACCCTACTGCTGTCTCCTAGGTCACCAGTGATGGAATCCTAATAAAGCTGCCCCCAGCCCCAATATTCCAACTTCCTTATGGGTCCCACTGAACAGCAGGCATGCCCTGATTTAACCATACAGTCCGGCTTTAACCACACCACAAGCCCCCAGACTCAATATAGCCACTGCCCTACCTACCTCCCCCACCAATATCCTAACTTCCTCATATATGCCTCATTGTTCACTAGAATATCAGGTATGTCCATGGACTCATATTTCTCACAGAAACAGCAAGTGTGTCCATGCGATGGGATCTCAGCCGCTGCCCCCACCTCCCAACTCAATATCCTAACTTCCCCAGATACGTCTCACTGGAACAGCAGGTATGTCCATGATGTCATACCCCACTAGACAGCAGATGTGTCCATGTGATGGACTGCTTCTAGCTAGCCACTGCCCCCAGACCCATTCCTCATATTTCCCACAGAAACAGCAGGTGTGTCCATGTACTCAACCACAACCACATCCATCTAATCTTAGACAGGACCACAATAGCCAGCCAATCAGAAAGCAGCACCACCAGGATGCCTGAGCAGGATGTGAACCCCAAAACAATAGTAGGGACTTTCCCTAAGCAAGCACCTTTGCAATAATAGTAAAGAATTGACCCAGAGTAAACTTATGACTTAGAGAGGCTTATTATAATATCATTGCCATATATGAATGCCCCCCAATGAGTTTTTCTGTATGCATTGTGGGTAATAGCATGCTCAGTTCTACCGAGGCTAGGATCCCTCCCCATTACCTAATCCCTTAACAACTCCCTCCTGCCTTTTTAAGTATTCATAATTTTTATCATGTAATCAGCATCATTGCACTATAAATTTGCCTGTGTTGTCTAAGTTGCTGATTCCTCTTGGAACTCAACCCATTGGAGGCATCATTCCCAATAAATGCCTGTACTTGAGTTAGAGGTGGTCTGACTGAATTCTTTGAAACAATCCTGCCACAACAAACCAAGAAACCACAACAACCAGAATCTTTTGATGGCTAAATCCAATTTTTTTTAAAAAAGTCCTCATGTTTCTTGACTTTTCTGAAGCATTTGATATTGTTACTCACCCTCTCTTTGACGGTACTCTCTTCTCCCTTGGCTTTCTGGACATGGCTCTGTCGTGTTCTTATCCTGGCCTATCCTCGGTATCCTTCATTGGGTTATCATTCGTCACTATATCACAGTGACCCAGGATGGTCACTATGCAGGGGTAAATCCCAGGATGTTGTCCCTAGCCCTCCCCTCACCTATCTCAGGCCAGCCATCTCTAAATTTCCCACCAGGCTTCCCATCTCTGAACTTTCCCATCATGGTCCTGCCAAGTACCTACCTACCCCCTTTCTCTTTTGAGCTTCCTTTTATCTGCTGTCTTCCCCCATTACAATTTAAGTTCCCTGAGAGCTCAGACTACCTTTCTGTTTTTATTGTTTTTATATTCCTAATGCTTAGCACAGTGCCTGGCACATTAGAAGGGCTTAATAAATGTTTGCTGACTGACTAATCATCTTCCATGCAGCTTCCAAAGTGATGCTTCTACAGCGCAGGCCTGACTGTCTCGTTCCTCTCTTCAAGAAGCTTCACTGGTTCTCCATTGCATAAGGATAAAATAGAATTCTACTTGGCATTTAAAGCCCATCACAGGCTGGCCCTTGACTATTTCCCCCCCAGGAATTACATATTATTCATCCTTAAAGACACTCTGTGAACAGGCCAGCCAGTGGCCTACTTGCCATTATCCACACATGACTTTCCATGCTACCACCCTACCTCTGCACAGACTGGCCCCCACCCCTGGAATGCTCTCTCTTCTCTCCTCCAGCTCTTGAAACTCAGAATTTCCTTCAAGGTTCAGCTCAAGCAATACCTCCTTTAAGATACTTTTCTTGATTCTCCAGAGGTTAGTCCCTATGCCCAGCCACTATAAATGTTTTGTATATATCCTATATTTATGTATCTATTCACATCCTCTGGTGGGATGTAAGCTCCTTGAAGGCAGGAAGTGTCACACCCTTTTTTGCTTTTACTTTTGTTCTTTTGGGTAGGGAGCAGACTGACTTGTGGTTTGTTTTTTTTTTTTTCCAGTATTGGGAGCTCCTGATAAGGAACTTCCTCTATCAAAGCAAATTGGCTCCTTCTCTGCAGTCTTAGAGAGGTCTTAGAGAGCTGCCTGGGGCAGTGAGAGGTTAATTGACTTCCTCAGGGTCTCACAGTCGGTGTGTGTCAGATTCAGGTATTCCTGACTCAGAAGCCAGTTTTTGACAGATCGATCGATCAATCAAGGAAGCTATGCTGCCTCTCAGATGGTCTCACTTTTATATATGTATCCTCAGCATGTACCACAGTGCCTAACACATAGAAGGTGTTTAACAAATGCTGACTGAATGATTGATGATATAGTGTATGGGGTATAAAATGGGAGGCCAATAAAAAGGAATCACAGTATCATGGATGACAGTAGTGGATGTGGGACAAGAAGACCTGGGTTTGAATCCAGCTTCTGGCATTTACTAGCTGTCTGGCCACGGGCAAGTCACTTTTGCCCTGAACTGGGAAACAGGGATAATTCCCATACTGCTGGACTGTATACATTATTCCTGAAATTCCTGTCTTCTTATACTGTACCTCACAGAGCTACTGGAAGGATGAAATTAATCAAACGTATGTTAAAGTGCTTTATGTACTTCAAAGGGTTATAGAAATGTCACTTATTGTTACTTTTAATATCATTAGCAAGAAAAGTAAAATAGTAATATAAAAGTTTAAAAGTAAAAGTAATAATGAGTAATAATTACTATCACCACCACCACCACCACCACCACCACCACCACTACTACTACTACTACTACTACTACTACTACTACCACGACTGAATTTGAAGGTCCTTTCACTATTCTGAATAGGGGTCTTGGGTTTGTGGGTGGAAGAGAGTTATCTCTGGAGGTCTCTTGCCTTCTAAGAGAGATGTCTCCCCACAAGCAAAGCCTGTACTCGTAGCCAGGGCAGTTCTGCCCTGTTCTCTCTGTAAACTAATTTTAGAGGTGCTGTAGCCACTGAGA